ATTACTGGTGGATAATTTTGGCAATATTCAGTTGTTGATAACATTACTGGTGGATAATTTTGGCATATTCAGTTGTTGATAGATAAAAGCATTATTGGTGGATAATTTTGGCAATATTCAGTTGTTGATTGATAAAAACATTATTGGTGGATAATTTTGGCAATATTCACTCAGCAGATCAACCTCAGATCAAAGAGGCCTACTATCAGTCAGTTCCAAGAAGAAATACAAAAATGTGCCAATTGAATGAAGAATGAAAACAAGTTGACAAAAAGACTGAATCCAAGATTTGGAGATTATATAGCATAATGAGAACTTTATGAGTATTTTTTGTGGGCCGGTCATTTTTGAGTGGCAACACCACAAGTGCAACAAAGGTAGCAAAAAAATCTCAAAACGTACAAAAATAATTAAAATTTTTTTGGGAAGTTGTTAAACCCTGTGTGAACAAAATCACTAAGTTTTGATCCAGTGCTTTAACATTAATTAGTGTTTTTAGTAAAAAATAACCAAAACACAACATGAGGGTCAAAACAAGTTCATGTATATGTGTGTGTGTGTGTGTGTGTGTGTGTGTTCGTATACCATTAGCATGAGTGCGCTCAGCGCTGTCATGAGGCTCGTAGCGCCGCTGTGTCCGATGGGATGAAGAGCGCCATCTATAGAGGTCAGAGGTCGCTGCAGTGCTGCATCACACACACACAGCAGAGCAGATGCGTCCACATCCAAACACACCTGCACAAAGCGCACACTGCACTCTACACACACACACACACAACACACAGAGTCTGATGTCTCTCTCAGTTCATTACAGCTCAACTGTAACAGTCTCAAACAGTCTTTCAGTCACCAGCATGTGTTTATTTGTTCAGATTAAAGGTGAACGACATCTCAACAAATCAATGAGGGATGAATCGTTTGGAGAAACATCTGCAGATCATGTGATCACTTCAGCTCATGAAACTCATCTTAAGTAGCTAAACTTCACTTCTGCACAACGCCAAAAAACTATGTTACAATTTACAAACCTTTATTAAAATATAAAGGCATCTGTATTGTATCATTTTTACAGTGTAAGAATATTAAGTGTGACGTAAAAAAACAAACAATGTGTTTCCGAAATGAAATGACTGACTTTTATATTGTCACAGTGTAGGCATTTCTGTCTTCCTCCAGCTATTAGAGTACAGTAAAGCAGCATGATAATAATCAATTATTTTGTGATTTCAAAAATTTGAAATCACAATTATTGTCATTTTAGTAATTTATTTTTACATTTCATCTTTATTATTGCACTTTCACATAAGCACAAATCAACAGAAGCTCAACTCACATGCTTATCTGACCTCATCTAGTTTCCTGATTTATTATATTTATTATATAAATGAACACACTATGTATCTGATGAAGACTATAAAAACGAGAAGCTTCCAATCCTGTGGAATTCCTAATAATAACACCAACTCCAAATTATGTCCATGTTTTCTTTTAAAACAGCAACAAAACTGATTCCCTTTTTTAGAAAACAAAATTAGCCAGTAAGAATATCTAGTTCAATAAAATACTGTTATACATTTTTAATCAACACATTAAAGTACATTCAGTTCATGTTTTTTTTTTCTTAGAAATTGTCCAGTTTGAAAACCCAAAAGATGCATTAATTCAGCTGTTTTACATCAAACCACTCTAGTTTTCTTGTGTTTGTGTCTTACTGATCAGCATTGTGTCCGTATGTGTGCGGCTGTGTGTTTTAACTGTGAGTGTGTGTAAGTGTGTCTGTGTGTTTTTAATTGTGTGTGTGTTTTAACTGTGAGTGTGTGTGTCTTACTGATGAGCAGTGTGTCCGTGTGTCTCTTGCTGAAGGCCAGTCGTCTGATTATCTGATGCAGATCCACACTGACGCTCCTGTGAACCTTCAGCGCGCACACACACACACACACACACACACACACACACACATGTGTCAGGTGTTTATTAGTGAGGCGACACTGATCTCAGCTGTGCAGGAGGAGTGTGTGGTACCTGAGCGGAGTGTTTGTGCTGCAGGAGTGTGAGGGAGGAGAGCAGGAGCAGAGAGGAGCACAACAGCGATGAAGATGAGGAAGAAGAGGCCGATAAAACCTCCTCCAGCAGCTCCATCAGCCTGACGTTTCCCAGCAGCAGAGACACTGCTGAACACACACACACACACACACCAAACAGATTTCCTGTTATCTCTCAGTTCATCCAAAACTCAAGCATGTTAATCGAGCATCGAGAAAGGCAAAGAACGCTCTTTGGCAGAGTAGAGCAAATAAATTTCCTCCACAGTTTTTGAGTGTGTGTTACCTCTATCAGTAGCGTGTGAAGGACACACAGACAGGAAGCAGTACAGGAAGTTGAAAACAGACAGCTGCAGCTCAGAGTCACTGGAGTCCAGCTTTCCTACTAGATTACTGACTACAAACACACACGCACACACACACATGCACGTATGCACACATGCTTGATGTACAAACTATTTCATGATCTTGCACCACCACCTCTTAAACAATGTGTGACTTTCTGTAAGGATAATATCAGGCAGACTAGGTCATCAGTTAGAGGTGATTGTTCAACTAAATTTAAGAAAACTGTTTTTGGACAATCAGCTTTTTCAGTTAGAGCAGCAGAAAGATGGAATTTAATACCTGTTAATATTAGAGAGTGTACAACATTTAGTATTTTTAAAACTACGCTTAAAGTATGGCTTAAGGAAAATCAAATATGTGATCATTGACTTGGTTTTGTAATTTAATGGAGTATGATGTGATATTGTATATTGTATATTGTATGTGTTGTGTGTACTGTATTGTGTGTGACTTAATATTGTAATTTTGTAACAACATCCTGCCCAGGGACTGCAGATGCAAATTAGCTTTATAGCTAACTCTGGCACAACACTGTTGTTGTGCGTTGTCCCTGTACAAATAAATTGAATAAATAAAAAAAGAAAATTTTAAACAGTATGCACTTTTTTCAGAGATAATCGTGTTATTTTATTGCTTTGAAGAAACGTGCATTAGTAATATGTTGCTCGATGCACCCTCTTGTGGCCTCTGGAGAGCAGCCAAAAGCTTTTTTTCCCACTAACTGAAATTATGCCTTTTAAATTTGAATATAATTTGAATATTGATAATATTTAAGTACAAAATTAGAATCGAGTTTTTCAGCCATTTTGACAGCATGTGTTTTCTTACCGTGGTACAGGAGTCTGAAGTCAGTGTGCTCCATCTGACCGGACGAGTGAATCACAGACGACACGTTCAGCAGCACAGACAGACCGTCTGGAACAGACCAAACATCAGCGGCTGACACACTGTGATCAGTTTATGAGTGAATCGTGGGGCGGGGCTTGATATTAGCCACTGGCTGCTGACTGGACCGTCAAAATGACATGACTGTTTCGTACAAGAACGGAGGATCTGAATGCAATTGGCTAGACGTTACCTTTATTTCTACAGTGTTTTCTACACTACAGACTGTCAGCATGAACAAATGTAAAGTGAGTGTGTGTTCTCTGACCTGTGTGTGTGTGTCTCTGCAGGACATTGAGCAGCGCCGATCGGATCTGATCACAGAGATCAGACGTCCCGCTGATGCTGCTGCTGTCGGCTGATCGCAGGAAACACTGCAGCACACCGACAGCTGAACGTGACGCTGCAGACTCGGCGTCACACGCCACGGCCTGAACACACACATTACACACCACAGAGTGTCACCGTGATTTAATAACTGTCTGACAATAGACCTTATATTAGAGTCTTAAAGCAGTGGTTCTTAACCGTTTCGCCTCCAAAGCCTCACACTGTTCAAACTAAAACTAATTCTAATGAAATCATTCAATTCAACCCAAACTTCAGGAATTCTACACAGATTTTTTAGTTGTTTTAACTTATTTTAAAGCTTCTTTTGTCTTATTTGTAACCATAACTTGTCTAAAAGGAATCAAACCAGATAAAGTATAATTTAAGTACCATCTGTTGAATTAATCAAAATTCATTCCAATCATCGTCCTTTAAAAATAGGAAAAATAGCACAGCAAATATCTGGGTCACATTGAGATACTTGATATAATTATTTTTCTTTTTTACTTTTTTAAAATGTTTTTTTTGTTTGTTTGTTTTATTAATAAATTAATAAAATGTATTATTTACTCTCTCTCTCTCACACACACACACACAAATTATATATATATATATATATATATATATATATATATATATATGAAAAAAAATTAACTTAAATGATTTTAGCAAATGGCTGCAATATAACAGAGTGAAAAGTTGAAGGGGGTCTGAATACTTTCCGTACCCACTGTATATATATATATTGAGAGAGAGAGAGAGAAGTCAACAAAGTTGTCCTAAGACAAGAACGGGTATTATTTTGGTTTTACGACAACTTTGATTAAAGGTTTTGATTCACTTCAAATGTTGACCAATTAAAGTTCATTAAAAAATGATAATAGAAAAAAAAAACTTTAATAACAAATCTCAAGGTTGTTGGTCATAAAGTGTGTGAATCCTGAAGAACATTGTGTATACATTTACAGATGAAATGCTGCTCACTGACAAATTCTGTGACATTCTGCGTATATACTGTATGTAATAATGTCAATGCATTCTGTGATTCTCTAATTTTCATCAGATTTACAGAACTAATGTTGGATTATAAGTGCAAATGCTTGCTCTTCAGTTGTCATGTACATGTTTTTCACGTCAGCTTCTGCCTTTATAACTGTGATGTGTGTGTGTGTGTGAGTCACCAGTGTGGCCAGCAGCGCTGCAGGGTGTGTGTGAAGCAGCTCCAGCAGCTCCTGCTCCTGCTCCTCCTCTGACAGACGCCCCGTCAGAGCTGGCGCTCCGAACCGCTCCGAGAGCTCCGGATACATGAAGATGAAGCTCAGGACAGACAGAGGAAGAGAACGAGAGAAGAGCAGCGGACAGGAGGACAGAGCTTTAGAGAGGACGCTCACAGACACCTGCACAAACACACACTTCATCAGCATCAGCATCATCACACTCAACCTCTCGCTGACAGACTTCTGTCAAACTCATGCTGTCTCAAGGTAATTTAGGCCTGATGAGGTTTGAAAACACATCACCCGGTTGCTAGGGTGTTGCTAGGTTGTCACCAGTCTGAATGACAGATCCACAAACAGATGTGAAATCACATGCAGTGAGTGTATTAACGGCTGAAGAGCCAGTGTGCTTCTACATTGCTATGGTATTTGAATTTGAATGTAGTTCTTCTCTAGCTGTTGCTATGGTAACCAATTATGTTTCAAATTTATTTGAATTTGAATGTTCTTGTTCTCTAACTTTTGCTACAATAACTCATGATGCTTTAAATAGATTTGAATTTGTACATAGTTTTGAAAGTATTTAACGTTTCAAATATATTGGAATTTGATTTTGAAAATAGTTTTGAATGCATAATGGATGCTATGGTAACCAATAACGTTTCAGATGTTTTTGAATTTCTACGTAGTTTTGAATGTAGTTGTTCTCTAACTTCTGCTTTGGTGACTGATAATATTTCAGATATATTGGAATTTATCTGACTGTAGTTTTGAATGTATGCTCATCTGTTGCTATGGCAACCGATGAGGTTTCAGGTGTATTTGAATGCATCTGCACTGTAATGTAGTGAGCTGAAACAGGAAGTGAGGTCAGAGCAGTGGCAGACCGTGTCCAGACGAGGCCCGGCGTGTTGAGTGACGGACAGCAGATAGAGCACTGAACTCAACACCGACGCAGGAAGGTCCTGAACACACGAGACAAAGCGCAGCACAGCGGAGAACACGGCCGAGTCGCTCAGAAACCTGCGGTCACATGACCATCATGAGGATCTTCATCACTCAGTGACATCACCACTCACACACACACACAGACCTGTCCCCGTGCAGCAGCAACAGGTGCAGCAGGTAGATGAGGCAGTGCTGAGTGTTTCTGAGGGATTGTGGGAAATCAGAGAGCACAGATGGCCAATCAGACGCGCAGCAGCACAGAGATGGCAGAGACTCCTGCAGGACACGCTCCACATCTGCTCAACACACACACACACACACACACACACACACACACACACACACACACAGAGTTTACAGGTTAGCCAGGAAAGTTTTCTTTATGAAAGCAGAAGTTTCTTTTTAGGTTGGCAGAACATTAGAGGAATGTTGTGTGTTTGCTGGAGAGATGCTCTGTTGCAAATCAGGATGAAACACATTTAAGATGCATTTTAATACTAAATAAAAACACATTCACACAAACACACACCCACCAAGGTTATTATTATCATAAACATTATCAAATTGTTCTTTTTTTTTAGTATTTTATTTCAGTTAAACTTATTTTTTACATAGTTTTTTAACATTTTTAAATTTTCTTTACATAAATGCACTGAAATATCTAAAACTAAAATAAGAATTAATAAAAATTATAGGCCTGCACATAAAAAAACTATTAAACATGAAAAGAACACAACAAATCTACTAAAACTTTAAAATAAAATAAAAAACTGTAAATTTATAAAATGAATAAAAACTACAATAATATATTAATGTTACATAAATCACACTGACACACAAACTAATCCACCAAGGTTATTATCATTAAGTAAAACAACATTTTTGAATTCTTAAGTACTAAAGAACTAAAACTAAAATTAAAAATAATAAACAATAAAATAATCAATATAGACATTTAAAAAAAATAATAATAATAAATAAAATGACAAAAACTTTAACTGAAACTAAAACCTATTACTCGAAAACAAACTCAAAATATGAATAAAAACTGTAATAGCCTGTAAATGATACTAAAATAACGCACACGAGTTACCTTGCAGCTCACTGGTGCAGGTGTGCTCCTGTGAGATCAGACACATGCAGAGCTTCAGCCAGAGACGCGTTCCTGAAACACACACAGACTTAATGAACACGAGCTGCTAAACACACACACACAGAGGAGAATCAGTGATCAGTCAAACACTGACGTCTGCACTGCAGAATCAATAACAGAGTCATGTGACTAAACTACACCAATCACACATGAAGACTGAAAAAAAAATTGCAATGAGGGTAACACAAAGTTCATAAAAGCCCACGACCTGGCCATGACCTTTGACCCCTGAGCCAGGTCTTACCAAGCTTCTTGGAGAAGGAGGTCATGTGATCAGGACACAGAGAAAACTGACACGACAAAACCGAGAGGAAGAGCTGCAGCACCTGAGGAGATGAGACGCGCTCACACACACCCTACACACACACACACACACACACACACACACACGAGTGTAGGGTTCAGTGTGATTGTATGATGTGTGTGTGTGTGTGTGTGTGTGTGAGACTCACAGTAACTGCAGGGATGCAGGCAGCGTCGCAGCAGTGCAGCAGAAACACACACACAGACTCCAGCGTCTCCTGCACTGAACACACACCGTCCTTCAGAGTCGAGTCACACACACACGCCTCCACCAACCTACACACACACACACACACACACACACACAAAAGGCAAAATATAATCAAATAATAATTAATTATTTCAAAAAATCATCATGTAAAAACAAAATAAATCATTTGATAAGACGAATTATCATTAATTATAATAAATAATCAAAATAAAACAATTATAAAAAAATTAGATACAATACAAAAATAAAACAAATACTTTTAAAAAATTTAATTAAGCATATATTAAAAACTAAATAAAAATGCTAAATTAACAAATAGTATAAAATTATTATTTAAAAATTAATTAAATCATAAAAATTCAAAATTTAAATAATAGTTCAATTAACTGTAATTTCAAAATTAAATGTATAAATAAAATAAAATTAAGACAAAATAATCATTTTAAAAGTAATTTTAAAAAACAAAAACAATAAACATAAATATTTTCTTCAAAATGAAATCCAAAAATACAAATATAAATAATAAAAATAAATAAACCTCTTATTAAAAATGAATTAAATCATAAAAATATGAATTTAAACGAAACCATTTTAAAATAAAATGTATCAAAATAAAAAAAACTTTATTTAATTAAATTTATTTATTACTAAATTACTAAAACTTAATCGTAATTATTATTTAAAACACATAAATCATAAAAAAGTACAATTCTTTTTTTTAAGTATGTGTATGTGAGTGAGAGACTGACCTGCAGGCGGCGTCGAAGCATGTGAGCATCTGCAGTAAAACTCCTGCTGTCACTGACTTTGAACCAGAGCAGCTCTCCTGAACTTGCACACACAGATGATGATCACATGATGCCTGCTGATCACATGACCACTGCTCAGGACACTCACACTTACTCTGTTGCGTGTGTGATGGTGCTCTGTGATTTTGAACATCACGACCTCCACGATCCTCCTGACGTCTGCGAGCTGAACCGGACTGGACTGATGATTGGGCCTGTGCAAACACACACACACGCACGCACGCACGATTTACCTTGCTGCTCCACTACAGTAACCAGGAACATCCACTCGAATCGTGTGTGTGTGTGTGTGTGTGTGTGTGTGTGTGTGTGTGTGTGCGTGTGTGTGACCTGAGCAGGACAGCAGCGGCTCGCACCGCACACATGGACACCTGCAGACAGGATGAGGCCACGCCCTCCACGATGACATCACACACGGCAGAAAACTCAGAGCCGGTCGGGAAGAGACGCACCGCTGCAGGCTGCCTGTCAACACACACACACACACACACACACATGTATATAAGCACATTTCATTTTTAGTAGGTGTTTTATTTAGATTTTTTTATTTAGTTTTAATTTTAAAATGTGACCCGTGCTGGCAAAATGAGTCGGAAAGTGCACGGGCTAATTTTGAGCTACAGGCAAATAAAATGTGAAAAATGACAATTTCGGTTGAATTTTAGGTTTTCACAAAAATGAGTTCATTAAGCCCTCGTCTAGCAATCCCAATGCTCCAAATAGTGATTAAACATCTAAAATGATCTTTTACATATCTTTTATACATAATTATCTTTTGTGCGTTTTCTGAGAGGAGTACCTTTTTCTCCGCGATCCCGATAAATATACACATATGCACAGAATTACAGTATTTAAGTATTCACGCAAACATAATCTGTTATGACTTAAGTGAATGTTTGGGGAACTGTTGGGGAAAATCATCGGATGTGTAACATTATATTAGATCCGTGCAGTACAGTAGGTCTTAATATATAGGCCGTTTGTCGCATTAATGTTAATCTAACAATAAAGGAAAAGAGGGAATCACTGTGTGTGTGTGTGTGTGTGTGTGTGTGTGTGTGTGTGTGTGACCTGTCCAATATGGCCGTCAGCAGCTCCAGTCCTTTTATCTGCACCTCAGTGTTGGATTTTCCCAGAGTCTCTTTCAGAGAGCGAACCAGTGGCTCCACACCTCAAACACACACACATTTACAGTCAGACTGATGAAGAGCTACTGACTTCATCGTGAGAAATGAGTTCATGTGAATCACACACACACACACTCTTGTACCGTAGACAGCGTGACACTGCGAGAAGAAGAGCGGATCTTCAGACAGCAGCAGCAAACAACTAAACACCGACCACAACAAGACATCACTGCAGCCGCCGCTCATCGCCTCCAACAGGAACTCTGACACACGCACATATCAGACACACACACATATATTAGACACACAGACACTTATGCATTCACACTGTGAGCTGAAACCGTGACCCTGATGTTTCTAGCCCTGAGTCTCTTCTGTTTATGTGCAGGATCAGTGTGAGTGTGAAATGAAGTAGGTTTAATCCCATTTTCGTACATGATGCAGTGCAACTGAGTGGAAAAAGTCTTGATTATATGCACTTATAAACATTTCTCAAAGCACGTCAGAAGTGATTCCAAACAAAGGCAACATTAACATTATAAAACTGTTCAGCCTGTCATCAGACGTGAACCACTGAGTTTCTCTTTCAGTCATTAACACACACACACACGTCTCTGTTTAAACTGATGTGTGAGATCAGTGTGAGATGTTCAGGCTCAGACGAGCGTCTCACCGGGTAAATCAGCCTGAATGAAGGACGAAGAGAAGTGAAGAGGAGCGTGAATCAGTACGGCACACACACAGCGCACAGAAACCACCTGCAGAGAGTCCTGAGTGCTCAACAACAGCTGAAACACACACACACAGAGAGAGAGAGATCAGTGTCACGCCGCTGCTGTTTAAACCACAGTCCACTAGGGGGCATCAGAAAGCACCCAAAGGGCCCGCAGGAAACTTACTTACAAGAACAATTCACATTGATATTAATAATATACTGAAATGATCTAACTTTATTCAAGTGATACAAAAAAAACAAACACATAAAATCAAGTTCTCAACTGAAGTGTCAATAACTGTTGGTTTAGTGTGTGTGAGTTAGGGGTGGGAATCGCAGGGTACCTCACGATACAATACGAATCGCGATACATTGCTCACGATACGATAATATCACGATGCAGCGATTCTGCAATAATCGATATATAGCTAGACAATCCTATAACGATACATCACGATATCTGTCGAACTATGAAAACAAAATGCCTGTGAAAAGGTTAAGTGCAAGTTTTCTCTCTTCATTCAAGTCCAAACTGTTAGAAAACAGCACGAAAGTTCTGTAAATAAAATTTAACATGCTAAGTAAATTAATCATTTTATTCTTGGACTTGGACTTTGTGTGTAAACCAACACATTTAACTGCTTATCAACTTTATATATATAGCCTAAGTTACATATATATAAACCTGGTACATTTCAAAATTTACCTGGAGTGTTTTCTCAACCTTTCCTCTCCTCTCATCATAAAAACGGAGCCCCGCACACATGACATGCAGGGGGAAAAAAGCCGTTCACATCGCGTCTTTTGCGCTCTCAGGTTCGTTAATTCAAATGTAGACACGCGGCAAGCACACTGCACACTTCTGCGCGGCATTACGGCTCTGGCGAGGTTTTGCTTCGTCGTCCATGCCATAGGTGCAGATTTATGGTGCGTTCAAGTCATGTCGGATAGATCGTATTTACGAGTTGAACGCACATGAACGCCACCACAAAGTCGTTATTACGAGTGAAACTCGAAATTTTCTTTAAGCCCCGAGTTTCCGAGTTGGGGGCGTGTCAGTGAGAAAACGTGTCGGATGCAATGGACGCATCCAAAGACTAGATATGCAGCATCTGTACTGATGGTAAATTTGTTGAAATTAATAAAATGATAAATTTGTTGTAATGTAAAATAAAACTATATGTTGCATAAACAAAATATTATATTATTGTATAATTACCAAAGAACATATAATGATTCAGTTTACATCACCTTCATAAATGCAATAAAAACAGAAAAAAGCAAAAACACAATGACGCACATTCTTTATTCATCATTTTGTAGATGTAAAGTTTAAAAAAATCGTTGAATTTTATGGAAAAAAAGTAAAATCGCCATATTGTTCCGAGCAAAGTGACTTGAACGCACCTGACGTCATTACGACTTGTCAACTCATAAGTACGAACGTCCCAGGAGGACTTGAACGCAGCATTAGAGCGGAGTTGGCTCGAGTATCAGTCACGCTCAGTGTTGCCAAGACCGCGGTTTTCCCACGGAGGACTTGAACGCAGCATTATGTTTCTGCCGGTCGGTGGCTCGGTGCCCACTGCATAACGCGCACTTGCAATAACTGAGAGAGAGGGAGAGCACCCAGTTTTGTTGACATAAAACTGGACGCGCAGGCAGCACTCTCTCACTCATATAGTGAGGGAAATCCACCTGCGATCCGAGCGGAGAGGTTAGGCTACTAATGGACTGAATAAGCGCTCTGCAGTAATAACGTGATCAGGCACGTGCAGAAGGGGGGGCTTTGGGGGCTCAAGCCCCTGCCCTTTTTCAAAATTATTATCTCATTATTATTATTATTAACTATTATTATCTCGGACAAATAGCAATGATATTGTGGTCAATAAAACAAAATCCATTTTAATTATAATTAACCTGACAAGGTGTACAAAACAGTAACTAATTGCTCAAAAGTCGGAAAATTCCTGTTTATTTTTACATATCTGTCAATCTGAGGCGTTGCTATGGGTTGCGTGCGTTTTGCTTGACTGACTGATATTCCACTGTCTGTTCAGAAGTAGACTCTCAAGCCATATATGGTTCTTTCAGTGAGTGGGTCGACGGAAGGAAATAAACCAAACAATATTTTAAACTTTTTTTTCATCAAAGCTAGGGTGTCGATTTAATAAAAAATCCATGTATTATATGTTTTAGAATATTACATAATTTATCAATGCCCGTTTGTCATGTATAATACACCAACCAATCATGATCTGGCACAAGTTCAAACTTTCCATTCTTATTTATAAATCGGTTGAAAATTGCATGGGGCAGATGAGCTTATTTGTGGAGCGATTTGGATCTGCGGTTTGTCTCATTTTATAAATCAAATTACATTCCTGAGAAAATGGATGCTAAATTACTACAAAAGCACTGCACAAAACCGTGCAGTTCCAAAAGTCGCAATAATGGTAATCAGTATTCAATTCACGTATATTTATGTATGATACAGCGGTTGCTATTTCATGAAACTATCATAGTTAATGAATCCCAAGTGCCATCTACAGGCCTATTATGTGAAGTGTAGGCTGGCTAAATGGTGACGTGACTGACTTTATTATATTACCATTTTTGATAATTATGCAGCGTTATGGAAAGCATCTTATGCTCATCAAGCCAGCATTTATTTGATCAAAAATACAGAAAAAACTGTAATATTGTGAAATATTATTACAATTTAAAATAATGTTTTTCTATTTTAATATACTTTAGAATATCATTTATTTCTGTGATGTAACGCTGAATTTTCAGCATCATTACTGAAGTCTTCAGTGTCACATGATCCTTAAGAAATCATTCTAATATGCCGATTTATAATCAATGTTGGAAACAGTTGTGCTGCTTATTTTTATTATTTATTATTATTATTATTTATTTTTATTATTTTGGAACCTGTGATACTTTTCTGGGGTTCATTGATAAATAAAAAGTTAAAAAGAACAGCATTTATTCAAAATAGAGATGTTTTCTAACAATATCAATCTTTACCATCACTGTTTCTATCAATTTAACAAATCCTTGCTGAATAAAACCTAATTTCTTACAAAAAAAAAAAAACTGACCTCAAGCTTTTGAATGGTAGTGTATATTACAAAAGCTATATTTTAAATAAATGCTGTTATTTTTTAACTTTTTATTCAACAAAGAATCCTGAAAAAAGTATCAAATGTTTCCAACATTGATAATAAATCAGCATTGCATAAAATGAATTTTAAAGTATATAAAAATTTTGATCAAATAAATGCAGGCTTGATGACCATAAGTGACTTCTTGCATTTTTAGATGCTGGGAGCAGGGAAATCTATATAGAGCGCCTTATTGTAGTAAATTGTAGTATTGTATTGTAGTAAAATATCGATATTTGGCGCCAGATATCGATTCTCGTATCGCATGGAGAAGGACAATGATATATCGCCATATCGATATATTGTCCCACCCCTAGTGTGAGTGTGAGTGTGTGTTGAGACCTTCTTCAGGATGAGCGGCAGTGGTTGATAGGGCAGAGGATCTTCACCTCCGTCCTTCAGGTCCCTCATCAACACACACACGACATCAGAGTACTGACACATCTGCTTCACCACACCTGAAACACACACACATTTATTACAGACTGCTCTTGTGTTTATGTAAAGCAAATAATAAAACCTCCAGATTCAAACACTTAAAACTTATCATTTTTATAATATAAAGTAAATGAAAGGGACACATAATCATGACTAGCACTAACATGTGCCCACGTTACCGCACATCTACATTTTACAGAGCTCTTGTGATTTGGAAGGGACACGTCAACGTGAAACATGGAGCAAAAGTGAACAATAATGAATGATTTGCAGCATTATATTAAATATCATTAAAGCATTGTGTATGACATGTATGACAGCCACTCATATTTCCGTTTGCTTTATGAAAAATAAATGTTTTGCTGGATGCAATGCATAAATAAAATAAATTAAAAAAGACAATTATTAAACATTACAAGTTCACAACAAATTCCAAACAATTAAACATGCATGTATGAATTATTCACAATAATTTCAATAACATGCATGTATAAAATAGAGCGTGCAAGTAAATAAAATAGAGATATAAGTGTCTTTACTGTAATTTTCTCATCCGGACAGTTGCAGAGAGTGAGTGTGTGTGTGTCTCACCCAAGCAGTTGACGGTGAGCGCTGTGGTGTGTGTGTGTGAGAGTGTGTGCAGCAGTAACACACACATGCGCTGTCGGAGTGTGTCTGGAAGCGTCTGAATCGCAGGAGCGCAACTCCAGATCCTGAACATCACGTAACACACGGCGGCCTTCACGTCCTCATCTGAGACCAGCAGAGCTGAGCACACACACTCCAGCACACACACTACACATACACACATACACGCACATAAACAACAACATTAAAAAAACTGAGCACACACACACTTTTAAACATCAGCATGAAGAAACCTGAACACACACACACATATACACATCAGCATGAAGAAACCTGAACACACACACTACACTACATACATACACACACACACACACACACACACACATACATAAACATCAGCATGAAGAAACCTGAACACACACACATATACACATCAGCATGAAGAAACCTGAACACACACAGAGTTGCTGAATGAAGTTATTTTTGTTTTCTTTGCACACAAAAATATTCACATAGCTTCATAAAATTACGGTTGAACCCCCTGATGTCACAACAATGTCCTTGCTACGTTTCTGGGCCTTGAATGTGGTAGTACCCTTGCTGTCTATGCAAGGTCAGAAAGCAAAAATATCTTAATTTGTGTTCCGAAGATGAACGGAGATCTTACGGGTTTGGAACGACATGAGGGTGAGTAATTAATGACAGAATTTTCATTTCTGGGTGAATTATCCCTTTAACTCATAAAAATGTAAAATTTAAATAATTTTAAAAACAATTAAAATAAAACAAATAATTCAGTCATTAAGATTGACATAATGAAAATAAAACTTACTAATAATACTAATCATTAAAATAAATAAATAATTAAAAAAATAAACCAATCAAAAACAATTAAAAATGTAATCACTATAATCAAAACAAATCATTTTAACATAAAAACAATCAAAATAAAACTAATAATTAAATAATTAAAAATCAATTCATTTTAAGCTAAACATACAATTAAACTAATAATAAAATCATGAAAATCAAACAAGATGATTTAAAAATAAAGACAATGAAAATACAACACTTACTAAAAAGGATTCAATATTTTATTTGTTTACGTGCAGGTCATGTGACCATTAACCACATCACAGAACTGTGAACATGTGAATGTTTTGTTAAATTATTCTTATATATTATATTATATGAATCTCAGGGAGACTTCAAGTAAATATTTTAGCCCAAAGGGGCTCACTGAAAAAAGTGAATCCCTACTGTAAATAAAACTACTTGAGCCTGGAATACACTCCACGATTTTGGCCCAGATTTTCCACTGATTTACAGTCACTAGTTGATGTAAAACACTAGTTGACAAAAGTCAGAGTCAGCTTGCAGATTTGAGCTCACATATCTAATAGAAAATCACATAGTGTATGATGGTCACAGACTCTGATTTTTTAGCTTCAGACTTAGTGTGTGATGCCCAGTTTAGTCACTATTTACCAGATCTGTAAGTGTATGATGCCTAGTGTTTTAAAAAACTGTTCAGATTCTTAAAGTCAGGCAGTGTATTCCAGCCCTTAGATGTAAATGAGTGTCGTGTCAGAGGAGGTCAGACAGTCTTACGGCGGCTGGACGTCAGCGTTTGACTCAGAGCAGGATGAGCATCCAGCAGTTTACCCAGAAACGTCAAGGAGGACAGAGACGCTTTCTCCCCATCAGTCCACTGAGAGACACACAATCACACACACACCGTCACTCTTAACAATCACAGTAACACTGGCTCTAGTGTCTGAACGAGTGTGTGTATGTGTGTGTGTGTGTTCACACCCTTGAGTGGATCTGATCCAGGATGAAGAGCAGAAACGCTTGATTCGGGACGTCCAGTGTCACCTGCAACAGAACTGAACACAAACACACAATGATAATTTACAACTACAGCACTTTTCAATTTTTTACACGACAGAAAACGCCAAAGATCAGAGATGAGCGAGTGATTGATCACCTTGAACGGTCTGATCCAGCAGAGACGAATCCACAGCACTGAACAGCGTTTCTGAAACACAATCAGCAACCTCATGAAACAGCACAGAGCTGAACAAAACTGATTAAAAAAAACATATCTATATGTATATAATATACACATATGTGTGTGTGTGTGTGTGTGTGAATGAATATATATATATATATATATCCATCAACATTTGCAATTGTTTTGTAAAACGTGTGTTTATGAATGTTTGAGCTGAGTTTTATTTTGGACAGCAGTGATGACTTTGCGAATGACTTTGCGAATCGGTTCAAGTGATTCAGTTTCAAAAAGCTCAGTTTCTCCCACTTCGTTGTTCTTCGCAGTACAGCAGCTCCCGAGCCGCGTCCACGCGCATCACGGACACGAGCGCCGCGCGCTTGCGCACCGCCTGCGGGAACGTCGTCAGTCATGAGTCGCCACACCGCGGCACTCGATAAACACAAATGTAGTTTTTTATTGATCGAAATAACACGGTTCTTACCGACACATCCGACCTGTCCATCATCTCCGCGACGCACGCGACGCAAATGCCGCCGCGTTCCCACCGCGGCCCGTGAGCGTCGTTTCCCACATAACACGGCATGAAATCGTCTCAGGGTATTATTCTAGAGGCGATATATGAGTTTTACACTGTTCAAGCTACTGACAGATTAACACGACAGAGACGATGAATTGAAACGCTGCGCGAGGACGTTGGCCCGTTAGTCCGACCAATCAGAGCGAGATCACGAGAACCGTTAACCAATCAACTCTAACTCTGGAAAAGATATGTTAAACAGGTTTGAAACTAAATGAAAGTGAATATGACAAAATGTTGCCTAAATACATTTATTTCAGTTTTGTATGGTTGCATTCAACTATAATAACTTGTGTGTAGCTTTAAAATGGTTTTCACTAACTCATCTGATTATTCATATTTATATATATATGAATACATATACATATTATACATATTTATGTTTATAAACAAGGTTTAAGCACTTTTACCTTTAAAAAATGCAGAATATTTTCCACTATGCAGAATTTGCTATCAGAACAATTGTGTCTGCTCATCTTCAATTATCTGCAGTAATGAATGTCTAATGTCAGCAAAAGTGGGGCATCAGCTAAAATGGGACGAATAAGCTTTTGATGTAGTGCTCATTTAAAAAGAAAATTACTGATAGCAATGGGTGGTCTTGAAATGTAATAACAGTAATTTAACAATGGCAACATTTGATTTGTCAAATGTAAATCATAGGGGCATGGCCACTCAATTTTATGCAATGATGTCCACAAATGTCACAAACTGCAGAAGACAAGGGAAAGAAACATGCTACACACACACATACTACATAAAAACAAATATGAAAGCATGCATACACTTCATACACAAACACACAGTTGGAAAAACAAAACTCAGTACACACAAGCAGGCACATCATATGGCAATGTGTATTTTTATACTGCACATACTATACTGTACTTCTGTTGAAGTGCTTAAACAGAAGTACAGTATATTCTTTGTATAATCTTTGCTTCTTTGTTTTTGTTCTTCTGTTGGGGTGTTATAATTCTTTTGATTTGTTGTGCTTTATTAATTCTTTATATCTGTTGAAGTGTTTTAATTAAATCAACATTAAGTGTTTATGTGTTAACAATCCTCATGTCTATTTTTTATTCTTTTATTTTTTAGTCCTTTTTTTGAGATTTTATGTCCTCTTGTAATAAACTGTATTATCTAAGCACAAACTAGATACATTGTGTGACTCACTTTACCAGATGCAGTATCCCAAAAAGTTTGAAGAATAAAATTGGCACTTAACATTTTTTAACCTCTGTATGTACAAAAAAATTAAATAAATAAAACTTTTAGAATGTGTTTAAAGCATAAATAGTGGTAGAATAAATGTAATACCAAAAGGTGTGCCAGATTTGCTGACTTCACCTTACACCAACTCCTTGTAAACATTTTGAGAAGACTGAACAATTTTTCCACAAAGTTATAGTTCGTTAAGTGTTGGGTATTTATTCAGAACGGTGAACATATTTGAATATTTTTTATTATAGGTCAGTGAATAAACATTGACTGCTAAACGTAAACTCTCTCTGTATTAATTCAGTCGTGCTTCAACCACTTCCGCCCAGATACAGATGATGTCCATGAATATTCAGTATATTCTAGTCAAAATCTGAAATCACATATAATAAATAAAGGTGTTGGTAACTAGGCTGCTGCCATGTTGATCAAAATTTAGGTTAGGTCTCCCAGAGAACAGGTCTAGATCCATATGATAAGATTCAGTATATTTGGTTCTTTGTGTTGCTGAAACTTGAGACTTCATATGTTTTAACTGTTTTCTCCTTCAGGAATGTAACATTTTATCACATTTAAAACAGTGAATAGTTGTTTAATTCATATTCTATTGCTCTTCATTGCAGAGAAACACTCACTGTATTACATTTACACGGGTTTATCCAAACCTGTCGATCGGCCGGGCATCTATCAGTTCACTGCTATGGCTCTGCTAGATGACATACAGATCGACTATTACAATAGTGTGGAACAGAGACATATTCCTAAACAGACCTGGATGAAGGAGTAACTGCCGGAGGATTACTGGGAAAAAGGCACCCAGTCGAGAAAGAACAAAAAACAGTGGATTGATGAGAATATCGACTCTCTGATGAAATGCATGAAACAAAATGAATCAGGTGAGGAACATTCTTACACTTTAACTTCAACCTAAATAAATTCATCATATTATATTTTCATGATTTTTTTTCTTACCAACATTTTGATTCATCTCCATTTCAGATCTTCATGTTCTTCAGTGGAGACATGGTTGTGAAGTTGATCAGCAGGGAGATGAATCAAAACGCATTAATGAGTACTGCTATGATGGAGAGGACTTGCTGTCTTTTGATTATAAAGAGTCCCAGTGGGTCGCCCCAGTTGACACTAATTTAATAACCAAGTGGAAATGGAATAATGTGCCGATCTTAAAACAACGCACAGCAGGCTACCTGGAGAAAGAGTGTGTGGACTGGCTCAAGAAATTCAGAGAATATGGTGACGAGCTCAGAAAAGCTTGTGAGTAAATGTACAGTATTGATATTTGTTGTTTATATGCAGATGATTGATAAACAAATTCCTGTGTTTTTCGGCTCCTCCAGATGTTCATGTGTTTGCAAGGAAATCCAGTGATGAATCCAAACTGAAACTCACCTGTATGGCCACCGGCTTCTACGCCAAAGACATGATGATGACCATTAGGAAATATCGCACATCTCTGCCTGAAAATGAGATTAAATCCACAGAAATCAGATCAAACCCTAATGAAACCTTCCAGATAAAGAACAGTGTGGAGATTCAGAAGGATGGAAAAGCAGAATATGATTGTTTTGTGTCCCACAGAACCCTTACAGAACCAATTATCATCAAATGGGGTAATCAAAGCAGTTACACATACATACAGAAGCATCACTTGATGAATTAAAAAGAAATTTAAGTTGTGAATTTCCATTTTCCTCTATTTTGTGGATTTTTATAGATGGAAAATGCCAGAACTGCCCACCAGACACTGTCATAGTTATGATTGCAGCAGGGATTGGAGGTTTCCTTCTGCTGGCATTTGTTGCTTTTGTGGTTTACAAACTTTACATCATAAAAAAGAAAGGGATTAATGGTGAGTAGTCACTAATTAAGGATGATCCACACATTCTTGTTTTTGGTTTTTAATCGTAATGGCTTGAGACATTGGGATAGACTCCAGCATTCCTGTGACTTTACATAGGACAAGCAGTGTAGAGAATGAATAATTTACCCAAATATTTACCCCTAAAAGTCTGCTTTTGAGTTCCACTGGGGGAAAAATACAACATACAGGTTTGAAATAACATGACAATATTTAAAATTTTGAGTGAGTTATTGCTTTAATGAAAAATATATTACTAAAATACAGCTGCAAGCAGCAATTAAGGTGCCAAGCACACCAGAGGCAAAATTTGGAGTATAGCTTGACACCGAGCAATTACTAATTACTTAGTAACTGCAGCAATGAGTAATTAAAGATATTTTAAGAAATTTAACAAAAAAAATTGAAAATCATAAATGCAATCACTTATAATATGATTTAATGGTTTAAAACTTTTGACCAATTTTAAATTGATGTGGTGTGTTCTGTGTGAGGTGACAATGACATACATAAAGTTTGGTGTCAGTATGTCAAAACTTTGCAGAGATACAGTCTCTGATGCCTTTTGGCATCATTCCAGTAAATGTATTAATGCAGTAAATGAGTGTCTATTGACATGAAATCCATAACTTCTTGTCAGCGTGGTCTTAAGATGATCTAATTAAAAATCAAACCACCGGTCTAGGAGGACTTAGAAAACGTAAATTTTTAAAGTAAATCAAAATGGCACACAGGAGTACCTTCAGGACATGGTGCCAAAAACAAGTACTGAGTTTCACCAGTGCATTCGTAAAATACAGCATTGAAGGGTTAGTTCACCCAAAAATGAAAATTAGTCCATTTTTTACTCACCCTCAAGGCATCCTAGGTGTATATGACTTTATTCTTTCAGACGAATCCAGTTGGAGTTACATTAAAAATTGTCCTGGCTATTCCAAGCTTTATGGCAGTGGGTGGGTGTTTTGTGTTCAACAGTCCAAAAGAAGTCAAATAAAGCACATCCATCCATACTAAAACATGCCTCACACGGCTCGGGGGGGTGAATAAAGGCCTTCTGTAGCGAATCCATGTGTTTTTGTAAGAAAAATATCCAAGAAATTAAATGATAGAAAATCATCATGCTCTTGACTAAATTAATTTGTAGTTTTAACAAGAATTAATCTATATTTAATTTATACAGTGAAGACTATGCAATGATATTTTACATTTAATTATTTGGTTTTGGTACCTGGATACCTATAAACTTGAAAAAACTTTAACATTGTTTAATTTGTATCTTTGTTCTATTTATTTATTTGTGCTATTTACACAATTTCAAACAGGGCCCACAGGTACAACCTGCACCAGGGCCCCGCAAACCCCACCTACGACCCTGACTCTGACCCTCAATGAGCAGACACATTAGTGCAAAGAATTTTTTTTTTTTTAAATGTCTCACACCTTTTAGTTTTGAAAAGCACAGACTTATCAACATCTGAAGAAGAGAAATTTCCAATATCTAATTACTGTACAGATTGTTGATTTATTTTTATTAATGACACAGTTAAACAGACACTAACTCTCTGGACTCTGAACATGACTCCTGTTTAGATATTTATTCACCTTTGTTAAATGTGTACTAAATATTTTGTCTGAGGATAGTCAGCACCAACACTAAGATGTGAGAACAGCTTTTCAG